CCCAGCACACATTAAACTTCTCCTCCCTCCAAAGCCCCCAGCACACATATAATACACCCCCCCCCCCTACTTTCCTTCCAAGCCCCCTCACCTAGTTGCATCTGTGCAGGAGGAGGTACATCATCATTCCCTGGTGATCTAGTGGTGATTAGTAAGGTCTAATGCAGACCTTACTAATCATCCATCATTTGACCGCGCAGAACTGACAGAGCTCTGCCCTGAGCTGACAGGAGCAGCTCTGCATCCGACAGAGATGGAACGTGTAGCTGCTCCCACAAGTCGTGTACGCAGTCCATGACGGTGTGCCCGACTTCAGGGGTGTGGAAATTTTTTTTTTAAACTACTTGTCCAAGGACTAAAGCAGGGGCCTGATCTACTTGTCCCTCATGAAAATCTACTTGTCCCGATACAAAAAAAGAAAAATGTAACCATAACCGTATTTAGCAATGCCAAGAAGAGCTTCTCGTTGGTCAGTGCAGTCAGATGATTGCGCTGACCAACGAGTGCTTGAATTTTGAGAGCGAAATTCAGATTACAATGGCACAGGTATAGATTAGTACACCCATACTGGCGGATGGGAAGGACCGTTCCCATGAAGGGTAAGTATAGCGGGGGGTTTGGGGATGCAGTCTGGAGCAGATTTGTGCGGGTAATTCCATTTCCCCAAATTACTTGGGAAAGTGAATTTACCGTTTGGGGCGGGTGCAGACTTGGGCTATGCGGCAACATTGATTTCAATAGGGTTACATCCGCGTGGTAATCTCTGAATGTTTAATTGCGATTATGTGCGATTGCACTGGCGTTATTGCGGCGGGAAACTGCGCAATCTGCCGTAAGCGCCTAGGGTGCCATTAGACAATAATGGCATTGCCATCGGGATCGGCGGTGGTGTGCGATGCTGTGACCGCCTGGCCATCCACACGGTTTTGTACACGATTGCCGTGTGGTAACGGATCGCCCACTCCGCCCACACAATGCCCCATGCATGTGTTTATGCAGATGATGATAGGGATTGGTTTTCATTTATTTACATTATTATTTTTTCCAATTTTGTTTACATTTTTAAGTGTTAAATATTCAATTTTTTTGGACTACAAGAAAACAGATATTATGGCAAGTTTTTGTTCTCTGTAAAATCCTTTTCTCTGCGTTAATTGAAGGACACAGCGAACAGGATTGTAGTGGTGCCAACCTCACACCTGCTAACCAAGCCTCAGTTAGTAACAAGGGGTCAAGAGAGCACTCCCACACACAGAGGGCAGGTGCTGTGTCCTTCAATGAACACAAAGTGAGGAAATCACCAGCACTCGTTCAGCACCTATCATCCATCGCTTGGATCCTTTCTGGTTAGGAGTGTGATGGGTTTCAATAAACACAGCAAAAAAGGATTTTTCAGCGAGTCCTATTTTCTCTTATGTCCATTGAAGAAGCGAAGATTTAAGATCTAGAATCACAGGGACATTACAAAGCAGTGCAAAATGAGGGGTGAGCTTAAGATTACCAATCCCCTACAACAATCAAACAAAACTAAACAGCCGCAGACACTAACACGTAAACCTTCTAAAACTTTAAAAAAAATATGAAGACGCAGTGGTCGCTTTACAAATCTGAGAAACTAAAGCTCTATGATGAAAAACCCAGGAAACGCCAACTGCCCTAGTGCAATGAGGGGTGACAGGAAAAGGGGGTTCCCAACACCTAATAGCGTAGGCCTGAACAACATTATTTCAAATCCATTTTTAAAAATAGTAGCGGAAAAAGCAGGTTGACCAATCCAAAAACCATCTGAAAACAAAAACAGAAAATCCAAAAAGACGCCATAAAACATCCAGATAAATTCGAAGTGCCCTAACATCCAGGCCAGGGGTGTGGAAATTTAAACAAAAAACTACTTGTCCAAGGACTAAAGCGGGGGCCTGATCTACTTGTCCCTCATGAAAATCTACTTGCCCCGATACAAAAAAAGAAAAAAAAAAAAATTTAACCATAACCGTATTTAGCAATGCCAAGAAGAGCTTCTCGTTGGTCAGTGCCGTCAGATGACTGCGCTGACCAATGAGTGCTTGAATTTTGAGAGCGAAATTCAGATTACAATGGCACAGGTACAGATAGTGCATCCATACTGGCGGATGGGAAGGACCGTTCCCTGAAAGGGGAGTATAGTGGGGGGCATGGTGTCTGGACCAGATTTGTGTGGGTAATTCCATTTTTCCAAATTACTTAGGAAAGTGAATTTACCGTTTGGGGCGGGTGCAGACTTGGGCGAGGCCGTGTACGGTTGCCTCGCGGCCTCATTGATTTCAATGGGGTTACATCCGCGTGGTAATCTCGGAATGTTTTCAATCGCGATTATGTGCATTTGCACAGGCGTTATTGCGGTGGGAAACTGCGCAATCTGCCTTGAGCGACTGGGGAGCTGTTAGACAATAATGGCACTGCCAGCGTGATCGGCGGTGGTGTGAGATTCTGTGACCGCCCGGCCATCCGCACGGTTTTGTGCACAATTGCCGTGTGGTAATGGATCGCCCACTCCACTCACACAATGCCCCATGCATGCGTTTATTCGCATGCAGATAGGGATTGGTTTTCATTTTTTAGATTTTATTTAACTTTTTTGTTTTGCTTTGTAATATTTTTCTTTCATTATTTATTTTTTTACTTTTTTGCCTTTCTTTTCTTCTATTTTTATGTATTTACATTTTGATTTTTTCCAATTTTGTGTTTACATTTTAGGTGTTATATATTTAATTTTTTACTCGACTTTATTGCTATCACACAAAAGTAACAAGCCCTTGTGTGATAGCTTTTGGAGGTGACAGGTTCTCTTTATTGACCCCGTCACCTCCAAAACAGGAGTTCTCCTGTGACAGGAAGGCTGCATTCCTGTTCTCCTGTGACAGGAAGGCTGCATTCCTGTGTCACTGCACACATGGAGCAGAGTAGAGAACCGTTCTCTGCCTTGCTCCATGCTCTGGAACCTAATTTGCCATGGTCATCAATCCCCACAAGAGGGGGGGACCCCGAAGACTACGGCAAAAAGGAAGCCCAGGTGCAGAGAGACAGGCAGCCGGGAGCAGTACACGGCCGGCCGCTGGAGATAGAGAGGGGGGAGGGGAGGAGAAGCGTGATTCAGGCAGGTTACGAGTGATTTTTTTGGATGGATGCACAGCCGTTTAAAATCACTCGTACAAAACGGCTCCCACACTACATTTAGCAGTGCTGCTTGCCCGCAGCCGGGCTAAATGTAGAAAAAAAAACTCGCCCGACGCCCGAAACTGCCTGTCCCGGGCGTCGGGCGATAGGAATTCCACACCCCTGCAGGCTAAACTGATTTCAAAGAAAAAAAATGTCAACAGATAAGGAT